AGATTATGGACAGAACACCATGGACTTTTAGAGTGAAATCATACAACCACCAATATCCGATGGTTGTTATAGTGAACGTAGACTATTAGCCGAATCATGTAAATTATTTTGTTTTGTGTGATTGTTCTTTTATTTTTTCACTTCAGTATGAGTGTCAATATCGATCTCAATTCAATTCCTAGGTAATTTCAGCAGCAACTCCCATTAACACCTTAATGTGGTGGAATGGAATGGTGATAACATCCCATGCTCTGGGATTTGCTTAGGTAATCTTGGTGTTCTAAACGTGGATGTCAACCCGTACTGGTTGGTTCAGAATAATGGACGAGATACATATCTGTTACTCCAGAGTTCCCATGATCTGATAAAATCCATGTGCGTAGTTTGTGAGGATTGTTGTATCATAGGTTTAGTTATATCCTTAAGTTTAAAAAATGCATGATTAAAATCATTTTCGTTGCCTAAAGAAAGTTATAGATCGACAAAAGTCAGATTATTGTCCTCAGTTTTGCCCAAAGTTCCAAGAGAGAAGGCTTGCTGGGTGAACTCTTACTAAAAGAGGTAAAGCTGCAGAGAGATAGAAGCTCAAAGGTTTGCCCAAAGGCAAAGTGGGTATGGGCGCTAGGGTATTTGTGTATGTTCTTTAAATGTCCTCGCTAATATGTATAGTCTATTTTCGGTCCAAACAAAACTGGATTTGGACGAATACCTCCTTTTATTTAGTCCATTGCCATCCCTAGGTGTGGGGATGATTGGTCCGCGCCACCCATGGATAAAGATAGAGAGAGAAAGATACACATGGCTCGAGTATCAAGAGGGCTTATTTTTAAAACACGCTTTTATGTGTAAAAAATAATGTAGCAAACATTTGCTAATATAACAATTAGAAATGCACATCCAGGGAAACAACATGCTTATATTGTTATTAGTAATGCACCACGTGCGTTGTACTTGAATAATTTTCATATACAAAATATTAATAAAAAGTATTACGTGTATGTGTACCTACATTAAATATCTTTTTAAGTTTATCAAAATTATATTTTTATTGCTCGTATTATATTATAGAATTTAAAAATATTGTTTGTTCCCAACGATTCATTGTTTTAAGTATAAAAAAAATAAAAACAATTTATTTAAAATTCATTTGATTATGTTTCAACTTATAATTCATTGAATAAAATAAAAATAATTTTTAATATTCTAATTAATGCTTACTATAATTAGTTAGGTTAATAGAGATAAAATATAGGATTAATAACACTTTGATTCTCTAAAGTTTGCGCTTTTTGTCAGTTTTGTCTTTAGTATATAAATTTTATCAATTTAGTCCCTAAAATATTTAATTTTTGTTTAAATGGTCCCTAACCAGATGACTCATTAAGTTTTTTAAGGAAAATAACCACATGTTATTCCGTCAATTAGTATCACGTGATCACTTGTATAAAAAAAACTTAACAGATTGTCTGTATATGGATCATTTAAACATTAACTGAATATTTTAAAAATTAAATTGACAAAATTGGTACAATGAAGACCAAATTAAAAAAATATGCATATTTTAGGAACTAAAAGTGCTATTCACCTTAAAATATAATATACTACTCTATAATATTTATTTTAAAAGAATATTAAAATTCTAAAATTTAAGTTTTACTTAAAAATACAATATAGTTTTTTTTTATATAAACTCTCAATAAAATATGAAAAGTTTACTGTAATTGAAGAATTATGTTGATTTAATAAAAATTATTTAAAAAAACTACGTAAAAGATTATTTTTTATCTTAAAAATTAAATGGTTGAAATTTTGGATAAAAGAAATACATATATGTAAGGATAATATTATCTTTATATTTAAAATGAGTAATATTAAATTGATAAATTTTTTTTAAAAAAATTGAACATTTTATTAAAAATTATAGTAATGCATATATGTTTTAAAGGTAACACAGTCAATTAAAAAGTTTCATAAATATTGATATTTATACATAATAAATAAAGAATTAAAGATAAGTTAGGAGTAATTTGGAGATTTAAACATATAAGTATATGATGACAATTTAGGTATTCAAATATTGAAGGATAGTGTGACATTTAAATTTTTTTATAAGAGTAAAATAGTAAATCAAAAAATTTTCATGCGAAGACAAAAGTTTCATTTTTTATTAGTAGTATAGATAAAAAAAATACATATATATAGTCATAATATTATCTATATATTTGAAAAAAATATGATTTATTGATAAAGTTTTTGAACACTTTATTGAAAACTATAATGATGCATATATTTTTTTAAGAGTAACATAGTCAATTAATTTTTTTTTATAGATATTAATATTTATACAAAGATAATAGAAAAGTAAAAGAAATGTTAGAGGGAAAATTAGAGATTTAAATACATAAAGATGTAATTGTAATTTAGATATTTAATTATAGAAACATAATATGATAATTAAAATTCTTTATAAGTGTAAAATAGAGAATCAAAATTTTTTCACTTAAGGTACTTTTATTAGTACTAGCAATGCACCACATGCGTTACACGTGAATAATTTTTTTTAAAAATTAATAAAAAAATATTTGGGTACTTGAATTAAATATTATCTTAAATTTACCAATTTTTTTTTTCATCTCTCATGCTCCACTATAAAAATTTTGAAAACTTTGTATATTTTCAAGAGTTATTGTTTTAACTTTAAGAAAAAAAATAAAAAATAGAAAAGAAAAGAAATAGTTAAAGTTCTATTTTGTTTGTAATTGAAAATGATTTTTCAATGATGTTTGAAAATTACTTTTTTGTAAAATTAATTTGATTCACTTATAAATCATTGAATAAAATAAAAATAATTATCAATATACCAATTGTATTGGAACTTACTGTATTTAGAATTAGTTAGGTCAATTGAGATAAATTTAATATACAACATCAAAATATATATTATTAAAATTTAAAAAAATTTCAGGTTTTCACATAAAATGTTAACACAATTTAAAAAATTTACTGCGATTAAAAAATCATGTAAAATTATATATAAATTATTTTTTATTTTAAAAATAAAATGGTTAAACATTTTGATGAAAAATAAAATATACATATGTAGTCATAATATTATCTTTATAATGACATGAGTATTATTACATTGATGGAGTTTTTGAAGGTTTTTTTGAAAATTTTGTTAAAATGTAAAATAATGCACATATTTTTTAAGAATAATATAATCAATCAAAAAGTTTCATAAAAATTGACATTTATAAATAGAGAATATATAATTAGAAAATTAATTTGATTAAAATTCTACTTATAAATCATTGAATAAAATAAAAATAATTATCAATATACCAATTATATTGAAATCTTACTGTATTTAGGATTATCTAGGTTAATTGGAATCAAATTTAATATGCAATGTTATAATATATATTATAACACATTATTTTTTTTTAAATCGAGTTTTCACATAAAATATTAACAAAGTCTGAAAGTTTACTGCGACTAAAAAATTATGTAAAACTATATCTACATTATTTTTTATCTTAAAAATAAAAGGTTAAACATTTCGATGAAAAATAAATATAAATATGTAGTCATAATATTATCTTTATAAATAAGGTGAGTAATATTATATGATGGAATTTTTTAAGGCTTTTTTGAATATTTGTTAAAACTTATAATGACGCATATATTTTTTAAGAGTAATATAATCAATCAAAAAATTTCATAAAAATTGATATTTATATATAGGGAATATATAAGTAAAAGTGAGCTTAGATGTAATTTAGAGATTTAAATGCATAAGGATATAATGGTAATTTAGATATCAAGTTTGGAAGGATAGAATGATCTTTTTAATTATTTATGAGGGTAATATAGTGAATCAAAATTTTTCATATAAATGTACTTTTATTAGTAGTATAGATTATAGATAAAATCTTGAGTTGAAAACATTTTTTAAAAAATAATGATAGGTCCTATAAATAAATTTAAATTAAAAGGTTATGAAAATCAATAATGAAACTGAATTGTTATAATTAGCCTTTTCTTTAAGAGTATCACCAACCCAGTTCTCCAAAATAGTTAGTCAAAATATATTTAAATATTACATTGTCTATTTTAACTGGCTACTTTTACAAATTCACTCCAATCACACTTTCTATTTTAGCTAATTACATCACCCAATTTTCACTAACTTCCAATAACTTAAAAGAGAATACAACATATATAGAGAGATAGAAAGAGATAGAGAGAAAATTTAGAGAAGTTAAATGACTCTCCACATTTGGAGAGCTATTTGAGTGAAATGGGAAGTAGAGAGTGAGATAGAGACTTAGTTGAAGAGTGTTTTTAGTATTTGACTAGCTAAAATAGCTAAAAAAAAAGGAAATGGAAAGTTAGTTGGAGATGCTCTAAAGGGTTGCACTTAGACTTTTTTTTCTTTGTTTGTGTATTTCCGATTTTTAGTCTTTTGTGTCAATGATTTTCTTATTGACGAATATATATTATTTTATTTTTATGTATAGGAAAAAAATAAACTATGTGCCCACCCTGACGTTGAATACACCATAGTAAATGTAAATATATTATTTTTTTTATTTATATAAAAAAAATTAACTATATACCCATCTAAACATAAATTTCTGACTTCGCTCTTGTTTAGTAGACATAGTCGTTCCCGTGGTTCTAGGTAACATTTTTACTGAACTACATAGCTCGTGTTCATTTTTCTTGTTTGATTGTTCACAACACTGCACGTTCATAGCATCGGGCCTACCGGTGGACTATGCGTCTTTCGCCCGGTCTACTACGCCAAATTGACCAGAATGACGTATGATAAAAAATGATTTGTTGGGGTTCAGTATTTTCTCAATTCAAAGTTGGTTTAGTGGGTTTCTCAGTCCAAACTTGAATATTCTATTACCAAATAAAATAAGGATAAACCTCTCATGTACATCAAATGATCAAACAATTGAAAAAATTGTCTAAAACCCTAACAACTCTAATCAACTTGACAGCCTAAAGTTAAGTCTCCTCAACCACACCGAGTGAAGCACCATGTTAATTACATCGAACGGCCGAGCCGGACGGTTAATCCGAAAATGTCTTTGCAATCTTCTCACTCTCTTTTGCATTTTCAAATACTTACCAATCGAGATCCCCTCCAATATATTTTTCATTTCTGGAATCTTTTCCACTGGAATTTGGATTGAAAATTGGGTCCAATCAAGAACATCAGTAAAGGGTAACCAATAGTTGTATGAAATTATCACAGGGACACACCCTGCATAAATTGCCTCCACCACCCTAGCACTTGCCACTTCAAACCCACTTGGGCACAGGCAAAACTTGCTTAGACCCATTAATTTAGTGTAGTTTTGGCCACTAGAAAGATATTCATGGACCCTAATTTCACTATCTTTGTCTTTCCAATAATTGATCAGTATTTCTCGTATGTCGCCGTGGGCGCCACCGGCGAAGAAGGCAAGTATTGGGCGATTGCGCGGCGGTTGGCCTAGGTTTGGTGGTGAAAGAGTTTCAGCTGGTACAAAGACCTCTGGCAGTGATACATCTCTTTCTGGTTGAAATCCTTCTGAGGTGTTGGCATTGCAAAGGACTCTGATGAAGTTCTTGAAGAGCTCAGGATTGCTGTTTGAAATGTCTGGAGCCTGAAATTTCAAATGGCGTGTTTGACTAAGTTTCTAGCTGCTTATATCAAAGTGAGACAAAGAGAAAAGCAATAGGATTTGATTGCTATGGAAACTATAAGAATGTTTTTTTTAGTTTTCCAAAAATAACTATATAGAGGAGAAAAATGCTTCATATAAAAAAAATTCTTAATAAGATTTCACATATAAAATGATTAAATGATATTAGTATAGTTAGTATAACATTCGTAATTATTTGGTTTTCAAATAACAGGTGATATAGTGGGCTATATCATTATAGACATAAATTTTGTGTATTTTTCTTATTACAGTGTGTTGAGATTTATGTCGATTATTTCTTCGAGGTTAATAACTGGTCATCATGACCTTAGCCGGGTTAAAGTACGTCCTTAAAGGGACAAGTGTGACTATTGACTAATCTCTCTCTATTATTAAAGATAAGATTCAGCTACTAAATCATCTCTAAGGATTTTTTTGTATGAAATTTATGTACATGTAGGGTTACTAGTAGAGATGAGCCTAGATAATATGGTCCTCAAAGCTAAAATGTTTCGATGCTTGAAAATTTTCAAAATTTGAAATCGACCCTTATGTTGAGAAAAATACATGTTAGTCTCTAAAATGCATAGTCCATCTTACGCTGGTCACTCTTATTTTAACTTTGTCATTTTTACTCCCTAAAGTTTTCAAATTTAGTTTAAATTGATTGTTGACTAGCGTTGAAACTGATGGCAGAAAATGCTATATGGTAAATGATTAAATACACTTTTGACCCTTAAGTTATCCCCTAAAGGTCAATCTGATCTTTCAGTTACCTATTCTGTGAATTCCATCCCTAAACTCACATAACATTTTTGTCGCTGGCGCACTTAATGTTTTCTATTAGTGATTCTAAAGACCATTAAATTCCAATTGAAAAACTTAGGGATGCAATTCACTAAATTGGTGATTCAGAGACTAAAGTGACATTTTGTCCATATTTTAAGGACAAAAAAGTGCACACAATAGTATTTTCCACTATCAATTTGAACATTGGTTGTCACAGGTCTGAATTCTCTACTTTACAGCAGGGGTATTGTTCTTCAAAATGACGTTCTTTTTCATGAATAAAATAACGTCATTTTAAAGAATAATGCAGAAAATTTATTTTTTCGTCCTCAGTTAGACTCTTTAAAATCTAAACTCTAGTGTAAAACGACGTCATTTTGAAGAATAATACAAAGAATCTATTTTCTCGTCCCCAGTTAGACTCTTGAGAATCTAAACTCTTAACCATCACAATTGCAAGAATGAAGGCCAAACTAAAAGCGTATTTTTTGGGCCATTATTTATTCCACCATTCACAATTTTGAATCCAACTCTCAAGTTTTTTTGGACACCAAATCACAACCCTAACCGAAGAAGAAGAAGAGTAAGAACATACCCAATCATGACAAGAAACCATGAAATGATCAGCCCCATTGCTTCTATTCCAGTAAGGATACTTGTCAGCGACAACATGAACATAGTCTGAAACCAACCTTTGAAGCTTCTCACGAGAGTAGTTGGTGATGGGAGGAGCATAAACATAGTCAACAATGTTGGCCACACTTATGGGGATGAAGAATGCATGTGCCTCATCAGGATGGGTGGCCATGAATGGACTCATTCCACCCTCCATTTCTGCTATGAACTGACCTTCAATGGCGTATATGTCCTTCAATGGTCCTTCATGTGCCAATGGATGCTCTCCTTCCCTGTATGTCCATACCTTGAATCTCTTCACCATCTCTGTATGGCTCCTGAGAATATGGCAATACCCGAGAATTGTTAGTTATGTTTGTATTATACCAACGATTCAAGTAGTTGAAGGCCCTTGCAACGTTGTTGTTCAAAGATCCAACTAGGTTTGAGTTCGACTTATATTCGACTTGCCTTTTACGTTTCACTCGACTCAAATATATAAGTTTGTATTTATAAATAATCATAATTTTATTACCAAAGAACCCTATTCAAAAAGATGATTGAACAACTCATAATTTATCTCCAATAGGTCTAGATGATATATCTTTCTCTCTCCCTCTTTTCTATATTACCTTTTTTGAAACAAAATTCTTATGAAATTTGTTTTTAGGGTTGATTATAGAGAATTTTGGGGGTTTTATCTAAAAAATTTACTATTTTAAGATTTCTTATGTATAGTTTTAGGGTTTAGTTTTTAAAAATTGTTGTTAAGAAATGAGCTCAAATTCAACTTAAATTGCTCACAAATTTCTGCCAGGTTTGAACAAGAATTTAAACTCGGGCTAAGCCAATGACAACTAAACTAGACTTGATCTTATTCAAGCTTGAGAACCTCAGCTAAAACTCAAGCTCCCCTCGGCCAATCACAACTGAAATGAGCCTGAGCATTTTCAGGCTCGAAAAGCTCGGCTGACATGCCCCTATTTGTATTATTAGCTAGACATTTCCTTAGCTTCTATATATACTCAACAAAAAAGGATATGAATCAACTTACTGATGAAAAGCATATGAATTCCTGTAAATCGAGCCTCTGGGAATGAAAATCCCTTCTTTATCAGGTTTATAGCTCCTCATACGAATTGCTTTGAAGATTTTTGCTCGTGCTCTGGACAAATCTTCTTCAATTCTCTCCAAGCTATTCTTCTTCTGTTTATACATAAGAAAATCAATCACAAATATGCGATAAAAAGAGATTATAAACTTCAAAACAAATTGACATTGCGAACATTTGTTCTGCCATTTTCATCTTCTCCGGTTGTTGTAAATCTGGAGGTGAATATGGATTCTTTTGGGTTGTTGTGGCAATGGGAGGAGAAGGAGAAAAAGGTAATAATATGGTTTTCATGTAAGGGAGAGAAGAAGAAGATTAGAAGGAGAAGAAGAGTGGGAAATAGCAAAAATTGTGTAGTGCAGGCTGTACAGTTGAGAGCTGCCATGGCTGCTTCAGTTCTTGTTCTTGTTTCTCACAGCTGAAATAGGGTTTCTGTGAGAGAGAAAGAAGGAGAAGGAGAACCAAAACTTATATAGACTGTGATTATAGTGCACATATATAAACATTCATGTTATGTATTTTCACATGCAATGAATGTGTATGTGTATAAATATAGGTCTGAAAAATATTGTACTCCAAAAAGTAAAGTATATTGCAATCTATTAACATTCGAATAGAAAAGAAAAAGAAGCCTAAATCAGCGTTCACATTCAAATACTAGATACAAAGATGTTAGGACCTTAATCCAGTCTTTCAAGAAACCCCTTAGATTACTTTATGTATTTGGGAGTAGGCCCCGAGTTGATCTATGATTGAGAGTAGCTAGTCATTTTAGACACGATGTTAATCGATTTTATAGTTAAGTCTCAATAATGGGTACCGCTAGTAAACAAGTGGACCTCTCGACCCATCAAATAAAAAATTCATGCGAACCTAGCTATCAATGCATGAATAGATTAATTATAGCTTACATGAAATGAAACTAACACAACATGAACTCATCTATGCACTACTATGAATAAGTTGGGCACAAACTTGATAAATTTTATCGTGAGACAACTTAAACGCTACACCATACATTATCATCCCTAGTTGAGATAATTATCAGTTAATTATAAAAAGGTTGAGAAGAAAGGTTTCAACTGATCAGAGGTTGAGCAAACACTTATCAAAAGAATGATACGTGATTAATCAGTGGATTTAAAGTGATTTTCCCACAGTTTTGCAAGACTTGAAGAAGACAAGCATGTGGGTTGCCTTTCAATCCATGAGTGCATGTAGGAGAAAATCATCACATGTGCATGGGGAGCCATAAAAGGACAGGCCATGATAGGGCTATGATCACCAGCCGACTAACATTGATGGGTTTGACTTTTTACCTTCCTTCTGCCATTAATTTAGGAGCCTCCATGGTTGTTTAATCATGTAAAACTTCACCAGTTGCATCAGGTTTCAAAGCCACCTGAAGATAATTAAAAAAAAAACTAAGAACCAACGACAAAACAACACATAGGGAAATCTAAACATACACATATGATATATAAATACATATAAATATTCTGTGTATGCATAAAGTTTCAATAAAACCTATGGGCAACTGATAAAACAACACATAGGGAAGTTCAAATAAATGTACACACACACACACACATCTTTTTTCGCAACTCTTTCTTGTAGTCTCTTTGTGATAGAAGAAAATAAAGGTATATGAAGTGTAGCATTTATCTAAAGGTTCAAAGCTATATGCACACTCACAAATGTATACATATATACATATAATTTGTTTATTTATCTGTGTATATGTATATGTTTTCGAAAATTTGCTCTTGTATTCTTCTTGTTGCACAAGAAAATTAGGGTATATATGTTTATATTTATGGTTGTTTATATATAGCGATTAGCGGTTGGAATAACGGCCACCGCCCTCGTTGTTAGACGTTAAGGTTGTGCATTCAAACCTCGTCGTCCCCATCCCCAAAATAATGTTTGATTAAAAAAACAATGGTTTTTTTTATATATATATAGTGTCTCATTGTTATATATATATAAGTTTTCCAAAATTTACTCTTGTAGTCTTCTTGCGACAGAAGAAAATTAGGGTATATGTGGTTATCTATATGGTTGTTTATATATATGGTGTCTCTCATTGATTTCAGCAAAAGACCAACGTACGTACCTCTTCCAGGAGACAAAAGGCTGAAAATGGGCAACATATTATGGATAGAACTTGTTAACACCACCATGGTATTAATTACGTGATGCTAACATGTACCTTTAATAAAGACGATTCACGAAGTCAAATCCTGCAAAAGAACCCTAGATTTAAATTCTTATATACATCATTAACATTGTTGAAACAGAAGACTCATCTTGTGGTAGTTTGTTCCAATAAGGATCTTATTAATCATTGTTTTCTCCTACGTTACATTATTTATAAGTTATCTTCCCAAAGAGTTTCGAGAAGAAGACTTGACAGATCTTACATTAATGCTTAGATGTGGTTGAGGTTGAAGACACGAAAAGTTAGAACAGATAGTACCCTCACTAAGGTAGTGTTTGGTAATACAGTGTTTGTATTTTTTTTTGTTTTTTTTTTTTTTTATAATTTTTTGCTAAAAAAAAAAATAATAACACGTTTGGGATGTGTTTTCGTTTTTTTACTACCTCGTTTTAAAAATAAGGACAAAATATGAAAACATAAAAAATAATGTTTTTGAAAACATTAAAAAAATAAACACGCGCGCGCCACACTATTTATCATTAATAAGGTCCAATCTTTGAATCTCCAAACAACAAAATAAGGGTTTTTTTGTGCCAACTATAAAAACCTCATTTTCCTTTATTTTTTTGTCTCTTTCTCTCTTTTGTCTCTCTCTCTCTCTCTGAAGACGAAGACGAAGACCTGTGTATATACGAAGAAGTCAGTGACGTTTCCCCTTTTTTTTAACTTTATACTATCTATATACATAGATATGTGTATATATATACATATAATATATATAAATAGATCCATGTGTGTGTGTGTATATATATATGCATATATAGACATAGATCTATATATATATGATGTTATATATACATAGATCTACATGTGTGTGTGTGTGTATGAGTGATGTATATATAGATCTCTGTGTGTGTGTGCCTGTGTGTATCCTGTCTATATGTGTGTGTGTGCGAACAAGAAGCTCTCCAATTTCTTTTTTGATCACAAGACTATCTTGAGGTATTTGAGATTAAGTATTAATCAAAATAATATCAATAAAATATTAATCAAAATAACAAACCTAAGCTCCCTTTATGTCCACAACAGAACGGATATCAAGAGTAATATTATTAAAACTTAAAAATCTGACCTTATTCTGTAGACTCTATGTACTTGTTAAATAAGGAAAAACTGCCCCAAAGTTTATGATCCTAAAAAGGGTCACTGAAATCAATGGTGGTGAAGACTTTTAACAATATTTGTTAACTAGCTATCTTCCTAAAGCTCATTGAGTTCTATGGATATGTTACAAGATCCCAGGTGTCCCTGATCAGGTTTTCTAGTAAAATGAGAAGAGAAATTTATCAGGTTGAATCAAGTTCTTTGATGAGACTTTTCTGAAATACTCCATGATGAAGACACGTGTTCTCGGTATTATCAAAACATTGTTGCTAAGATCAAGCACCATCGGCGCACAAAGGTCCTCGCCTCCGAGGTACTCGTCATATAGGATCATGGCATTCAGTACGTTTTACAACCAACACGTAGCCTCGGTCTGATATGGTACCTCGGTCGGTATCCCTCCCTCGGTTCCGAGATGAGCCTTTCCTCGGTGCCGAGGTGTACCCCGTCCTGGACGCCTCCTCTACTCCAGGATAAGCTATTGACGTACAGGTCATTAGCCTAGGCTAGTCTAGGCTATTCATCATGACCTCGTCTTACACAATTAGTGTCAGAACGTACTGGAATGCAGGGGCCACAGCCAATGGGGGATGGACGCGTGGCATACGATATCACATCAAAAACAGAAAAGCCGCATGCCGTTGCTGACACGCGACTTGGGAACACAAACGATTAATTGCACCACTCCCTTGACGAGACTGCATTCAATGCGGTAAGGCTCGAAAATGAAAGGCAATAAATGCTCCTAATACAGAGCATTTATTGCATCCTCCCCGAGAGGAGTACATTGTACCGTCGGCATCCCGATGACGCAACATTGATTGCTCGGGACCCCGAGCAGTTAAGAAGAGAAGACATTCCTCATCAGAATCAGTGCGCACACTGCCTGTACCTAATGATCACCTACTGACTACACTGACAGCAATCATGAGCTTTTGAGGTATAAATACTCCTTGCAAAAGGCAAGACGGGTATGCAAAAAAAACTCTTTACTACAATACACACTCAGTGTTTTCTTCTTCCTCTCTCTCTCTCAAAGACTGACTAGATCGTCGGAGGGGATACGCCGGAAAACACTCCGGCGCCCTTCTAACTTGTTCTTCTTTGTTCCAGGAACCTCTTTCAGCCTTACTGGATCGTTCTTCCGCTCCCCCAGGGTCTCCCGTTGCCGTTCCAGGTTACCACCGGACCTCGCAGGCTGTTCCAAGCAGCGTGGTTGGTCACTCAACTGGCTCACTCGAGTTCACCAAGGGAGAGATCTGTTCTCGTTTTTATATTGTGCAGGATCTTGCACGCACAATCTGGCGCCGTCTGTGGGAAACGACTAGTTTTCCTAGTTTTTTCTCTATAAAGAACAGTGACCATGGTGAACACTCGACAGAAAGGGAAAGGACCCCACCAAAGGAGTCTCGAGTTACAAGCTCCCTGTCATCACGGAGGGAGGGATCACACCAATATGAATAAAAGTGCCTCTACTCGGTCAAGAGGGGTTACCCCTCAAACCAGTATGGGAATCAGGTCAGGAGGATCAGCCCCCTTGGCTCGTCAGCTGGCGGAGGTGATTGAAGAAAAGTTTGGCGATAGATTACGACAGCTGGAAAAGGACAATGTAAACGTCCTAAGCCGGCTCAACGAGTTTGCCGCCTCTGGCGAAGGGTCGAGGGATTCATTCCTTTCTCGTGGGCTTCCCGCCCGGGAGGCGGAAACGAAGGATCTAAGAAACCACCTAAACAACAAAGCAGAAAGCTCTAGGGCCCCAAAGCGACCCAGAGCCAGCGAGCATCATCATGACAACCATTCAAGGAAGCAAGGCCATTGGCCCTGGACGACCTCCGGCGAGGTTTGTCTAGACGGAGGAAGGGAGATGAATCCGAGGAGGACTCAACCCAATCCACACGACGCCCAGGAAATGAGGGGCTTACCGATGAACTCAAGGACTTCAGAAGGCATCCCGTCAGGGAAGAAATTGATCTCAGAGCCCGGTTAGACTCCAGGAGAAAGGGTAAGGCTGTCCAGGATGAGGCCGAGGACGAAGTCATACAAACACCCTTTACGAGGGAGATCGGTGAGATGGAGGTTTCAAGAAAGTTTGTCGTGCCGCGGTTCA